GCTCCAGGCTAGCTGGGGCTACAGGGGAACCCTGTCTCAAAAAGACCAAAAAAAAAAAAAAAAAAAAAAAAAAAAAAAAAAAAGAAAATAGATGTCTCTAGTCTAAGCATACATTTTACACAAACAAATGCTATTTACAGACCTGTTAATTTTGACATTTAAAGTGGTTTTTTTAGGAGATTTAAAATTCAGATAGTTATTAATGAAAATTCAAGCTGGGCATGGTGGCACACGCCTTTAATCCCAGCACTTGGGAGGCAGGCGGATCTCTGTGAGTTTGCCTGGTTTACACAGTGAGTTCCAGGACAGCTGGGGCTACAGGGAGACCCTGTCTCAAAAAGACCAAAAAAAAAAAAAAAAAATTCAAGCAAGAGAATTCTAAGGAGAGAGGAAACAGGAGGGAGAATGAGAACAGACTCCTATCTAGTCAACCATGAGTTAGGTAGTATTCTCTAGAACACAGTATATTATGTCAGAATTCCAGAAAAAAATTTCCAAATTATTTAAAACAAAGAAAAAAGAAGCTTGGGATTTCTTCTCTGGAAATTCCAATTCCATAAAAATGGAATGGGGCCCAAGTGTCTTCCTTCAGTTCATTAGAAATACTCTATATAATGGGTATAAAATAGCATGGATAGTCACATATGTGCAAATGCATCTAGCTATAAGTCATATTTGTATATTTAGTAGATGTAAAATATACCTCAAGAAGTAAATAAAAAGAAAACATTTTTCCAAATGATTCACTCCCTTGGATATGTACTGACTCTTTTAAGTCACTGAAGCTATTCAACACATCACCCCAGAAAAATCTTCAGTTAAACACATCAACCCTTTTTAACCTCACAGCAAAAAAGTTCAGATGCTAATGTGAAGAAAAGCATGATTTTCCTTGCTTAAAAGTTCAACAAAATGCCAATGTCAGTGGTTTTTCACTTTGACTTAATGTCTATGCAGTCACTATCCTGCAGTAGTTAAAACAGGAAGGGCTGGTAAGGTGGCTCAGCAGGTAATAGCACCTGCTGCCAAGCCTGAAGATCTGAGTTCCAGTGCCAGGACCACATGGAGGAAAGAGAGAAATGACTGCCATTAGTTGTCCTTTGACCTCTACCCGCACAATTTCATGCCTACACAAAATAGATAAAATGTAAAAAGATTAAAAAGAAAAAATGGTTGGCCTATATAACTTTCCCATTACCATAAAAGGTATTTAAAAATATTTTATTAATTATTTTTTTTATTTTATGTGTATGTGTGTATTGCCTGTATGTAGGTAAGTGCACCTGTGTTGTGCAATGCCCTTGGAGGACAGAAGAGACCGTCGGAACTGGAGTTTCAGACAATTGTTAGTTTCCATATGGGTGCCGGGATTCAAACACAGGTCTTTTACAAGAACAGCCAGTGTTCTTAACCGCTGAGCCATCTCTCCAGCACCCTCATAAAACGCATTTTAAAAAGAGCAAACATCATTTGCTGAGTTGGTTAAAAAAAAACTGGAGCCAGGTATGATGGCACAGGCCTTTAATCCCAGCACTAGGGACACAGTAGCAGGTGAATCTTGTGAGATTGAGGCCAGCCTGATCTATATAATGAGTTCCAGGACAGCTGGGGCTATAGGGAGACACTGTCTTGAAAAGCTAAAAAAAAAAGTGTGAAACACTGTCAAACCAGTGATTTTTCCCACTTTTAAAGACCCTGAGATGCAATGCTCATACTATGAAACTTCACTTTCCAGTACATATCTCAGTGGGTTTAGTATATTCATCATCAATATATTAGTTCAGAACATTACCATCAGTCAAAAAGAATCCCCAAATCCACTAGCAATCACTTTCCATTACCTTTCTCCCTAATCCCCTGGAAATCTCCAATCTTCCTTAGACTTTATATAAATGGAAAAATTTTACCACGATGAACAGGATTCTCTATATGTCACATAAGAGATGATGTTTGCTTGTTTTGGTTTTGGTTATCTGCATTAGGCAAGGAGCACGGAAATCACCTCCTAAGCAGTGCTCTCTCCAGATACATACTTTCAGTTACGTGAAATGCCTAGCTTCTTTCACTTAGCATGCAGCATGCAGTTCATCCATGTGATGTACAGCAACATTTTATTCATTCCTTTGTATTGGCAAATAATATTCCATTGTGTTGATGATACACATTTATTCATCAATTGGAAACATTTGGGTTGCTTTCTCTACCATAATATTTCTACAAACATTTGAAGATAATTTTAGTCATCTTGGGTATATCTGAAGGATGGGAAATATTGTCTTTTTTTTTTGTGGTCTTTTAAGACACAGTCTTCCTGTAGCCCCAGCTGGCCTGGAACTCACAAAGATCCACCTGCCTTTACCTCCCAAGTGCCAGGATTAAAGGTATGTGCTACCATGCTAGCTAAATGTTGAGTCTTATAGTAAATAGGTTTATTTATTTATTTATTTTTTGGTCTTTTTGACACTGGGTCTCCCTGTAGTCCCAGCTGGCCTGGAACTTGCTATGGAGACCAGGCTAGCCTCAATCTTACAGGGATCTGCTTGCTTCTGCCTCCTGAGTGCTGGGATTTAAAGTGTGCACCACCATACCAGCAAAGTTTATCATTTTAAGGAACTGTTGATTTCCAAAATGACTGTTCCAAAAATATATGAAGGTTCTAATTTCTCTATATCCTTGGCCCCAAACACTTGATATTGTCCATCTTTTTTGTTTTGTTTTTTGATACAGGGTCTCCCTGTAGCCCCAGCTGGTCTGGAACTTGCTATGTAGACCAGGCTGGCCTGGATTTCACAGAGATCTGTCTGCCTCTGCCTTCTGAGTGCTAGAGGCAGAGGCAGACACCACACACCTCCATTCTAGTGAGTGTGAATATCTCACTGTGGCTCTGATTTAAATTTTCCTGGTGACACAGTTCTGAGAACCTTTTCATGTGCTTAGCTCAAATTAGAGATTTTAATTTTAACCTTAAACATTTTTTTCTTTCTTTTTTAAACAGATCTAGTTATGTTCCCAAGCTGGCCTCAAACTCACTTATATAGTCCAGGTTGACTATGAATTTGAGATCCTCCTCTATCCCTACCTCCCAAGTACTGGGATGACAAGCATGTGCCAACATGCTTAGCTCTTAATCCTAATCTTAAAAAAAATTTTTAAATTTTATTTATTTGTTTGTTTGTTGTGATAGGGGACACGTGGTGATCAGAGGACAACTTGTGGCAGTCAGTTATCTCCTTCCACCATGTGGGTCCTAGGGGTCAAACTCAGGTCGCCAGGCTTGGCAGGAAAGTACCTTTACTGCTGAGCCATCTCACCTAGTCAGTACTAAATTTCTGAGAGAACTGAACAAAGCAATACACTAGCCCGTTTATATTAACTTACACAAACATCTGGAGACATATCCTCATTTGAAGCAATTATTTCTGTGGTTTTTAAAACTGCAAGAGGCTGTCGCTGTGCTAAAGCTCGTGGAGGATCTGTAGGACTGGAAAAAGACATATTCCATTTAGCAGTTTTTATTGTTTACAGTAGCCCTCTAATTCATTCTCTTTTTGGTAGTTAAGATAAGGTTTTACTATGTAGCCCAGTGCAGCCTAAACGATCCTCTGACCTCAGCTCCCTCTTTCCTAGTCCTTCATGTTGGGACTATCAGTGCCCAGCTGCCTTCACTTCTACAGTTAAAAGACTTGGGAACAGTTGCATAGTTCAGTGGGTAAAGGTGTTTATAGTGTAAGGCTGATGACAGGAGTTCCATCCCAGGAACCCACATGGTAGGAGGATAGAACCAACTCCTCTGACCTCCATGTGTGCTGTGGCATGTGCCTATTCCCGCATCTCTGTCTCTGTTTCTCTCTCCCTTTCTCTCCGCCCCCCCCCCACTCACACACACACAAACAAACTAAAAGTATTTTTTAAAAAATTAAGTAATGGGGCTGGAGAGATAGCTCAGCAATTATAAGCATTCACTGGCTGCTCTTGCAGAGGACCTGGGTTTGATTCCCAGCACCCACATGGCCACTAACAACTGTCCATAACTCCAGTTCAAGGGGAATCCAATGTCTTCTTCTGACCTCTGAGGGCACTGTACAACACGGGTGCATTTACATTCATGCAGGCAATACACTCATTTAAGTAAAAGACAATTATGCATATATAGATAGATATCTAGCTACCTCCAAACCCAAGTAAAAATAAAGAAAAAAAAAACCAAACCTTTCATTCTTTTTTTCTGAAACAAGAAACTCATCAAAAATGGAGAAAGGTATACTGGAACCTATAGAAAGAGGAAAAAATCTTAGAAATGTTTGACTCTTTAAGAAAACTAGAGAAAATAATTAATATCCTGTGTTGTTTGAAACCAGAAACATGATTTTTTAAAAAAGATTTTATTTTTGTGTGTGTTGTATGTATGTATGTGTGTGTGTTGTGTGTGTGCTGAGCGCAGGTGCCCTCAAAGTCCAGAAGAGGGCATCAGATTCCCTGGAGCTCGAGTTTAATGAAAAAGTTGTAACATCAAGTTCTAATGATCTAAACACGATGATCCTTGCTCTATTTCCCCAGCACTGCTACTTCTTCCAAATCTAACCCAACATGACTTGGAATTCTTTAGTAAAGTCTAATCTTAAGACATTATATCTATATAATCAAGCATTTCTGAATATTAAATATCTAGCCAGAAGTTTTAGTAGTTGCAATGTTTTTTCAAATGTGTTTGGACTGGGAATGCATAGTAAGATTCATATATTGTGACTAATTCAAATGTCTCTTAAATCTCTTATTCTGGGGCACTGAGATGGTTCAATAGGTAAAGTTTTTGCTCCCAAATCTGATGACCTGAGTCTGATCCCCTGGATCCCACATGGAGAAGAGAAAAAAACTCTTGCAAGCTGTTCTCTGATGTCTACAAACATGCCATAACATGTGCATGCATGTGCACACACACAAACAAATGTGAAAAAAATTAATCTTACTCTTTTTTTTTTTTTCCTGTCTTTTTGAGACAGCGTCTCCCTGTAGCCCCAGATGCCCTGAAACTTGCTATGTAGACCAGGATTGCCTTGATTTCACAGAAATTTACCTGCCTCTGCCTCCCGAGTGCTGAGATTAACTAAAGTAGGATATTTCACAATAGTATAAATGTAAATATAGATCTTTAAAGCAAGTACTTCATATTTTTAAAAAGATTTATTTTATGTGTATATTTTGTCTACATGTATGTAATTGTACCACATGTATATAGTGCCCATGAAGGCCAGAAGAGGGAATCAGACTTTCTGGAATTTAAGTTATAGAAGGTTGTACACTGTCATGTGGGTGCTGGTAACTGAACCTGGGTCCTTTAAAAGAATAGCCACTGAATTATTGCTCTAGGCCCAATTCATTTTTTTCTTTACATTAGAAAAAATTTTTGTATGTATGTGTGCAGTTGTGCAGGTACCTGTGTGCCATAGTAACCAAGTGGAGATCAGTGGGTTCTGAGCATCTTTATATGCTGGGGCATCTTGCCAACCCTAAACCAAGTATTTAAAAGCAGTGAAGAATCTTGTCAAGTATTCTCTCAAATACATATCTTATTTCAAATCACACTTATAACAAATTCTGTTATTCAAAGATGAAATAAGACTCAATTCCCACTCTCTGCTTTCTTTTAGTTATTTTACTATAATTGAGAAAAATATTTACTGTGTTATCATCACGCATTTGTTATCCGTAAGCTCCTCTTGGGACTGTCAAATACAACTTACCTTTACTATCAGGCTGTTCTTGCAAAACATTTTCTATAGGTAAAGTTTTCCTGTGAAGAAAAATAAAAAATTTAAGTGCTCAATACCCACAAAAAGAAAAAAAAAATTTTTGAGACAGAGTCTCATATAGTCCAAGGTGGCCTCAATACTACGTAGGGGAAGATAACCTTGAATTCCTGATCTTCCAGCATCTACTTCCCAAATTCTGGGATTACAGGTATCTGCCACACATTCAGCTACAATTTTTAAAGTTTGAGAGGATTTACCATTAACTATAATCTTCTTCATTCTAATATAAAGAAATTATCCTACTACTATTAATCAAAACTCTATTGACATGAGAACCTTCAGGCATTAAAGCCATAGAAGTATACTTAATAATACATATTAAGTTTACATAAATAGTTAAAGCAGCTTGCAAAATGGTAAGCTACCATTTTTCCAAAACAAAATTAACACGACAACAGGAAACATCTATCAGTGCGAACAGCAGTTCTCTTGGTAGTACTTTTTGAGTTTTGATTTTTTAAACAATTTTTTAACTGGCATATTTTCATTGTACTTGGCACTGGGTTTTATAAGGACATTTTCATACACATATATAATGTACTTTAATCATAATCCCCCACCCAAGGTTTTGCTTTTGTGAGATAGGGTCTCACGATATAGCCTAGACCAGCCTTAATCACTCAGTCATTCTGCCTTAGCCACCCAAGTGTTGGGCTTACAGGCATGCACCACCACCCCCACTGAAACATTATTAGTTTATTAATTAAAAAAAATTTGAGACAAGGTCTCTTGTATCTCAGGCATGCACACACGCACGCACACACACACACACACACACACGCACACACACCCCCCACACCCCCACTGTGCCTGGCTCTAGAAACACTTATTTTTATTTTCATGGAAGAAAAAGTCAGCACCACATAGTCCTTCATCAGCACGAGACTTCATGCTATGATAAAACTTGTAAAAATCATGGACTCAATGTTGTTTAAGAAAAAAAAAAGGAGACTTCAAATCATCAAAGTCAAAAGTTTCTTCTATGTTCTCCTATAAGCACTATGTCTCCCACCAATGTGTCTTACCTGGGGTGAGAGTTTAGTGGACAAACAGAATGGGAAAGAGACACTCCTGTCATTTCCTGAGACTCTGAAGCAATTTGCAGTTTGTCTGTCTTTGCAGGTATCTTCTCTTCTTGCTGTTTATATTAAAATAAATAAAACCAATGTTTCTCTCACACAGAAAATGCTATTTTAAGCACTAGCTCTAACAGTAGCTTAACCATTTTCTTTTAGACATTTACTAACCACAAAAGGCCTTTCCAGTAATTTAAGTTCCTAGTAAAATTGGTATTGTATTCAACTGAGTAGTGGCAAACATACATTGACTTCTTTAATCAACCCATTTTAATGGAAAATGACTAGAAAAAAAAAAAGCTAACATCAGAAGTAACAAGATAACAAATAAGAAGTCAATGAATTACATCACCTATCATATACTAGAAATCTCATTTGAAGTTACCTGTTAAATTGCTTTCTGGCAAGGGTTGGGAGATATGGGAGGAATTGGAGGGGAGGGAGTGGCCATAGATTTGATCAAAACATGCACGTATAAAATTATATGCACGTATAAACTGTATAAAATAAAATAAAGTAAAATAAAATGCTTTATGGAAACCTTGAAAAAAAATTTGCTTTCCTGCTAGTAATAATTAAGAAAATACCAAAAAATTACATAGGTATTGAGAGGACTTTACACTTTTATATTGTTTAATTTATTCTAGGTTGGGCATGTTTGAGATTAGTTTTCTGTATTGAAAAACAAACAAAAAAACTACCTGATCACCAGTTCTTTCCTGCTGAGTAGTCTGGATTTCTTTGAGCTTTTTCTCCATCTCTTCAATCTGTTTCTGCATTTCTGCTCTCTTCTCTGCACTGGTCAGTAGTTCCGCTGGAAACAGTGAAATAAGTTGAGGCATTTCCTCCTTAAAGCAATTCATCCTGTCAAAACCTGCCTTTGAGGCCCAATCCTAGCACATATGTCAGTATAGATGAAAATGAAAACAAGAAGTAGAACAAGGTCTGCAATTTGTGGTCTAGGTCTCTACTGTTTTATTTATTTATCTAGTCAAGAAAAAAGGGAATACCCGTAGCAACTGCAATGGAAAACAAGTTTCAAAGAACAATACAAAGTTCCTATGTGATATTACATTCAAATATGGTGAAACTGCACAAAGAAATTAGTAAAAAAATCAGTGTTTAAAAAAATAAATAAGGGCAAGAGAGTTGGCTCAGTGGTTAAGAACACTGGCTGCTCTTGCAGAGAACCTAGGTTCAATTCCCAGCACCCACATGGCGGCTAACAACCGCCTATAACTCCAGTTCCAGGGGATCTGACGCCCTCTTCTGACCTCTGTGGGCACTGCACAACACAGCTGCACTTACACACAGGTAGGCAATATGCTCATACACATAAAATAAAAATAACAAAATAAAATTTAAAGAAAAACAAAGTCAAGGGTGGTGATATGACTTAATCTTAGTACCCATGAGGATCACCTGAAGTTCTAGGTCAACTTGGGCTACAAAGCAAGACTCTCAAAAACACTATTACTACTACTACTACTACTACTACTACTACTACTACTATTATTATTATTATATACATAGGGCTGGAGATGTAGCTTAGTTGGTAGAATGCTTACTTAACACTCAACCCTGGATTTGATCCCTATCACTGTATAAAGCAGGCATGGTAGTGTGTGCCCGAAATCTCAGCATTTGGGAGGTAGAGGCAGGAGGAGGATAAGAAGTTCAAGGTTAGTCAGGCATGGTGGCACACATCTTTAATCCCAGAACTTGAGGAGGCAGAGGTAGGTGGATCTCTGTAAGAAGCTAGCCTGGTCAACACAGCAAGTTCCATGTCAGCTGGGGCTACAGGGAGACCTTATCTCAAAAAAAAAAAAAGTTGAAGGTCATCCTCAGAAACACAGCAAGTTCAAGGCTAGGCTGAGTTAGGTGACAGACACTGTCTCAAAAACCATATAACCAACCAATCTAATAAAACAAACCATAAAAAAGAAAGGGAGGGGAAATGACAGAGCACTTGGCTTGACTGTGCAAGGCCTGAAGTCTGATCCTCAGTACTATGAAAACTTTCAAACAATAGCCAAAACCAAAACAGATGTGAAACACATAAATTGAACAAAGCAGAGGTCAACGGTTAACAAGGGTTATTCTGATAAAGTGAAATGATAAAGCTAAAACCTGAATAGGAGATCAATCAAATAAAGATCTGGGGAAAGTTCCTCAATACAGGAAGAACACTGTACTGACAAATCTAAAAGAAAGTCAGCTTGGTATCACCATAACTAGAGGAAAAATAGTAAAATATAGGCTGGAGAAATAAGCAAGGGCTAAGTCACGAGGTGTTTTAAAAAAATAGTCACTGGATCTGGCAAACGGATTTCTAGAGATCACAGCAGAGCTTTTGACAAGAATAAAAGGAATGCCTAAGAGAATAACAAGCAATGCAGAAAAGACTGACTATACTTTTCTGCAGAGTTTGGGGCTGGGGAAATGACTCAGTGATTAAAATGCCTGCTGTGCAAGCATGAGGACTACAGTGTGGATACCCAGCACCTATGTAAATGCTGGGGCCCACCTGTAATACTAGCACTTGCAAGGTGGAGATGGGATTCCACGGAGCAAACTGGCTAGCCAGACTAGTGGCATAAGAGAGACTCTCTCTCAATGAATAAGGTGGAGAATAATCAAGGAGAAATCCCAAGATCAACCTTGGGCCTCCACACATGTGCACATGCACCCAGTCCCATACATGTTCATACACATGGACACATACACACACAATAAACAAAAAAGAAAGAGGATCAGCAAGATGGCTCAGCGGGTAAAAGCCCTTGCCATCCAATGATGCAAGCTAAGACTTGAGAGTTCAATTCTAGGAACCCACCTAAAGGTAAAAAGAGAGAACCGACCTCACAGGTTGTCCTCTGTCCTCCACATGTGTGCCCTCCCTTACACAACAATAATAAATAGAATTTTTTAAAAAAGAAAGTTACTACTCAAGGAAGTAGAAAAATGAGCTGAAAGTCTGAGAAGACTACAGGAATAATAACTTTTTAAAAAATGGGAATATAAGCGGGCGTGGTGGAATATACCTTTAGTCCCAGGACTCAAGAGGCAGAGGCAGGTGGATCTCCATACAGGAGATGGAGGCCAGTTGGGGCTACAGGGAGACCTTGTAGGGAGACCGAAAAAAAAAAAAAACAAAAAACAAACCAAAAAACCAAAAAACAACAACAACACCCCCCAAAAAAACAAAGGAAATATATCTGTATGATGTTGAGAAAAACAGAAAAAAAACCTGGAGGAAAAGAAAACTTTCAGGGCCAAATACCAGAAGTGAGAAAAGATGAACTCTAAAACTAATAGACACAGGCCTTAACAAGAGTAGATAAATTTTAACAAAACACCAGGGAGAGTACATGGTACAGACGGCAAATTAGATGGTAGATTTGATAGGGATAAGAAATTAGATGCTTCTGTTTTCTCAATGAACTATATGGTAAGATCATAACTGAGGATGTAAGATTTGAAAATGAGAGAAAATTGAATTAGTTGTTTAGAAGAGAAGCCTGAGACTGAGGAGGATGGGGATGTAGCTTAGTTGCTAGAGTTTGCCTAGCATTTATGCAGCCCAGGATTTAATACCTAACACATCATAAGCTGGACATGGTGGTGCATGCCTGCAATTCTAGCACTTAGGAAGTAGAGGCCAAGCACCAGAAGTTGAAGGTAATCCTTGGCTAAATGGCAAGTTCTAGACCAGGTTGCTAATACCTGAAATTGTCTTAAAAAGACTGCTAAACACTGGTGAGTGTCCACTTCAGATTTTTGGTCGTTAAGTTTAAAATCAAGTTAGGCTTGGTGGCTGTAATCCTAGTACTTGAGAAACTGAGGCAGGAGGATGGTCACAAGTTCAAGGCCAATCTGGACTACAAAGTGAGTATTGGGCCAGTATGGGTGACATGGTAAAACCCTGCTCAAAAACAAGGAAAAGAAATAAATTTAAAATGAGATCAGTACACTCACACAGACATATTTTTCTTTACTTACATTTAAATAACTTGGATGCAGGTACAGAATGCAAACAGAAGAATTTAACCAGGGTTAAGGTATTTGCCAGATGAACACAGGAGGAGAGGCATGGAGTATTTTACATAAGCATAGGCAGTATGGCAGTCAGGTCAGAGAATTTAAAAGCTATGGTTTTGAATGGTATAGGGGCAGAAAGGAAGATAACTGAGCCAGGTACTTAACCAGTTGATGAATGATGGAGTGAATGAAAATTCTGAGCTAAGAATACTAAGGAGGCTCATGAAATGGAGGGGGCAGACAAGACAAACTAAAACAGAAAACATAAATCTGAAAGAAGCTAAATTATTAGAAGAAGGGAAAATGGACAATAGTAATGATAGAATACTCTGTTGGCTCCAACTATGGCTTGTCTAGTGGTTCTCTCTTCAAGTAATCAGCAACAGTCTTTGAGACCAAGCTTTAAAAATAACAAGAATTGGAACAGGAGAGAGCGTTCAGTGTCACAAAGTGTGTACTGCTCTTACAGGAGTCAAGCATGTCACACAGCTCACAACTGCCTCTAACTATAGCTCCGGGGGATCCAAAACCCTCTTCTGGCCTCCAAATGCACCCATACTCACATGCATATGCCCATACACAGACACACATCTACATATATAATTAAAAATAAAAATTAAGGCTGGAGAGATGGCTCAGTAGTTAAGAACACTGACTGTTCTTGCAGAAGACCCAGGTTTGAATCCCAGCACCCACATGGCAGCTAACAACTGTCCGTAACTCCAGTTCCAGGGGATCTGACAGCCTCTTCTGTCCTCCGTGGGCTTTGCACGACATGGGCATACTTACCTACATGCAGACAATACATACATATACATAAAAAATAAAATAAATAAAATATTTTAAAAATAAAATTAAAATCTTAAATAAAAGGAACCAAGAATTCACATATGATGACTTAAAAGAGTACATACTATACAGATGGGAAATTATAATTTAGAGACCAGCTTAGGAAATGGGTATTTTAAAACTCTCACAGTTCTGCAAATCAAGAGACAGGGTCTCTTATAGCCCAGACTAGCTTACACCTGGGGCTGGCTTGCTATATAGCTGAGGATGACCTTGAATGTCTGATCCTTTTGCCTTCATCTCCCAAGTACTGGAATTTTGCCTTCATCTCCCAAGTACTGGAATTACAGATGGGCACCACCATATCCTATGATTAATGCCTCCTGTATTTAACAAAATCCCAGTTGACACAGCTGGGTACTCCTTTGGCTAGTTGAGAATAAAATGTACCTTCATCTTACTTCTATATAGTAGATATGAGCTAGATTTTTTTTCCTTAAGAAAAAATATTTCTTTTCTTGGTCTTTTTTGAGACAGGGTCTCCCCAGCTGGCCTGGAACTCATTGTGCAGACCAGGCTGGCCTCAAACTTACAGGGATCTGCCTGCCTCTGCCTTCCAAATGCTGAGACTAAATGCGCCCTTTGTAAGAAAAATATTTTCATCTAGCTATTTCCTCCTCATCTATTTCTTTGTTACCGTAGCTCTTAGGGGGATTTTGGTGGGTTTTTTTTTTTTCCCCTATGTGTTGGGGATTGGCCTCAGGTCCTCACACATATGAGACAATCACTCTACTACTAAGCTTCACCTTCCAGCCAGTTCTACTTTTTATAAATATTATTATTGTGTGTCCATGATGTATGTGGGGATGCATGTACCACACAGTGAATGTAGAAGTCAGAGGAGTGAAGTTCCTTCTCTTTTCATCTTTATAAATAATACACCTGGGTGTGATGACACAGGCCCTTAAGGCAGGTGGATCTCTGTGAGTTCCAGGTCAGACAGAGCTGCATAGTGAGATCCTAAAAAAAACAACAAAAAACAAAAAAAAAAAAACCCACAACTACCACCACCAAAAAAAAAAAAAAAAAAAAAAACCCACAACTACCACCACCAAAAAAAAAAAAAGAATAAATAAATAACTTTTCTAAGTGATTGAGATGTGCCTGAATAAATTAATCTAAAAAAGCTGTTGAAGAAATTGAGGCTGAGTATCACAGGCAACATTAAGAAAAAGTACTTAAGAGGCAGGCATATACACACTCCAGGGGTTAAGCTGGCCATTTATTGTGCAATGGGACTGTTCTGTAGTCTACAGCTCCTTTTCCTCTTTCACTCCTGAATACAGACTCTGTTTCCTCCACCAAGAGGTTTTGTGGGGGGCAGCAATGTATGCATATATAGTGAAAAGCTGTACAAACATAAAAACATCACATATAGTTTAGGCAATTTTCCTTAGACTTGAAAAGTTACTTTTCTAAACTTGAATTAGAACAATACACACACCTTCCCTTCGCTCTTTTAATTTCTTCCGGAAAACTTCAGCCCGGATTTCTTCAAAAGAGAACTCCCCAACTCCTGCATAAATCTTCTCCTTACAGTACATCATCTTCTCTTTCTTTTCTTCAGACTCTTGCTGATGACTCTGAACCCTTTGAAAAGGATCTCCTTCTTCCTTTCCAGGCTTTCTGGTGCTTAGAATATGGTTTATACTAGGTTCAATTTTACATGGTGTCCTAAAAAAGAAAAATATCATTTATTATAAAGTCAAAATGAGTTGTTTCTTACGTATTTTGCCCAAATAGATGGACAATCCAAGCAACAAGTTACATGTGACCCATTTCCAAAACAAAACAACAAAAACATAAGGTTTAAAAATGAGGCTAAAGAGACTAGAGAAATGGTTCAGCAGTTGAGAGCACTTTGGGGTTCTTACAGAGGACTGGGCTTATTCCCAGAACCCACATGGCAGCTCATAACCTTCCAAAACTCTCCCTCCAGGGATTGATGGACTCTTCTGACCTCCATGGGTACTAGGCATGCACATGATACACATAATACATACATGTCAAAAAAACACTCATACACTTAAAAAAAGGTAAATAAATCTTTTAAAAAATATTTTATTATTTTAATTTTATGTGTATGCGTGTATTGCCTGCACATACATGAGTGCAATGCCGCGGAGGTCAGAAGAGGGCTTTGGATTCTCCTGGAACTGGAGTTAAGGATAGTTTGTAGCTACCATATGGGTGCTGGGAATTGAACCCAGGTCCTCTGCAAGAGCAGTCAGTGCTTTTAACCACTGAGCTATCTCTCCAGCCCCCGTAAATAAATCTTAAGAAATGAGGCTAAAAACAACTTGCACGAACAAGGTACTGAGTTTGATCCCCAACACTGGGGAGCAAAGGAGATGATGAGTTCTGAGACCTTTTTGAAAAAGAAAATTAGGAGTCAGGGTCATCAAATATTTTATATTACTTCCAGGTAACAATAATTTTGAATATGACATTCAGGAAGTTACCCTATATAATATAATAATTTTTTTACTGTTTAACACATAAATAATTAGAGATAGGAATATATAGCATCAGGGAACTGATGATGTGGTCTTCAGCTGAGGACAAAGAATGAAAGCAATAAAGTTTTAAAAGAATCAAATGTAATATGTCTCCATCAGACACAGATGTTTTCAAACTTGGTTATAATCTGAAACCTTTATACACCTTTTATTTTCATAAATACAAATATATAACCAAAGATATCTAGCTCTTCGTAGATCCACTGAAACAGAACCTAAACCTAGAGTTTAGGTACCTATATATATTTTTTGAGACAAGGTCTTAAGTATCCCAGGCTGGCCTAGAACTTACTACATAACTGAGAATGACCTTGAACTGATTCACCTGCCTTTACCTTCCAAGTGCTGGAATTACAGGCATTCACTGCTACACCTGGTTTCGAGATGCTAAATGATTGATTTCAGGGCTTCATGCATGCTAGGAAAGCACTCTTCAATGGAGATACATTTTCAACCCAAACCACATATATTTTTAAAAAGTGTCTCAAATTTGCTCAACCTGGTAAAAATATTTCTCTTTACATATATAAAAAAGCTCATGCTAACATTATACTTCAAGATTTAAGACTGGATGTTTTCTCTCTAAGATTAAGAACAAGATAAGATGTCCACTCTTGTCACTTCTATTCAACATTGTACAGAAGTTCTAGCCAGAGCAATTAGGCCACAGAAAGAAACAAAAGGAATCTAGATGGGAAAGAGGTAAAACAGTATACCTACAGAAGATCAAGTAACATGATCTTATATACAAATAAATCCCAAGGATCCACCAAATAGCTATTATGTAATAAATCAGTTCATCATGATCAGAGGATATAATACTAAATGTGCAAAAACCAACTGTAAGCCAGGTGTGGTGGCTCATACCTGTAATCCCAGCACTCAGAAGGCTGAGGTAGAAGGATTGCCAAGAGTTCCAGGCCAACTCTGAGTACAGTGAGATTCTGACTTGAAACAAAGTCAACTGTATTGCTAGGTGTGATAGAGCATGCTTATAATCTCAACTACTCAGGTGGATGGGGCAAGAGGATCACTTGAGCCCAAGAATTTGAGACCAACTTATGTAGCAGTTAGACCCTATCTCAAAAGAAGGAAAAAAAAATTATTTTATTTTATACATTTGCAATGAACAATCTGAAAAAGATTCAGAAAATTCTATTAGAACAGTCTCATAAAGAATAAAATACTCCCAACACTTGGGAGACAGAGGTAGGCATTATCTCTGTGAGTTCTAGGCTACTTGGGTCTACAGTGAGTTTTAGGCTAGCCAGGACTACATAGTGAGACCCTATCTAGAAAGAAAGAAGGGGGTTGGGGGTAGAGGATGAAGGGAGGGAAGGGGAGGGGAGGGGAAGGGAGGGGAGGAAAGAGAAGAAAAAAATACTTCAAGGCAGTGTGGTAGCTGTAATCTCAGCACTCAGGAGTCTGAGGCAGAACTGTCCTGAGTTCCAGACCAGCCTAGGCAACATAGTTCCAAGCCAGTCAGGAAAAACCCCAAAACAAACAAAATATTTCACAGTGAATTTAAAATTCTGAAATAGGAATAGATATCTCACCCAAAAGGTCCATATAGATAATAAGTAAGCATGAGAAGATGCTCAGCATCCTGCCATTAAGAGATTACAATTAAAACAAAAATGATATACCACTAAACACCTACCAGAATACCTGAAATAAAATATTTATAACACTCAATGTTAGCAGAATACAGCAATAGGAACTATCATTCACTGCTAGCAGAAATGCAAAATAGTGCAGCCACTTTGGAATAGCTTAGTACTTTCTTATAAAGCTAAACTGGCGTTATTATATAATCCACCCAAATGAATTGAAAACTTATGTTCACACAAAACCCTTTACACAAATGTTTATACTAGCCTATTCATAATTGCTAAATCTTGAAAACAACCAAGGTATCCTCTGTAGGTTAATGAATAAATAAACAATGGGGGGGTACATATGCTAAAAATACACTGTGTGTGTGTGTGTGTGTGTGTGTCTGTGTGTGTGTCTGTGTGTATATGCATGAAATTCTTAAAGGATAAAAAGTGGAAGAAGTCAGTCTGAAATGGTTACTTACAAAATGATTCTAGTTATATGACTTTCTGGAAATGGAATACAAAGTCAATAAAAGCTTGGCAGTTCCCCGTGATTCAGCAGAAGGCAAGAGAAAGATGCTGCATAGATTTTTCAGTTTATTTATTTATTCGAATTTGAGCTCCTGTACCCCTCAGCTTATGGTGCTGTCTTGGAAGGTTGTGGAAACTCTGGGATATGTGGTCTAGAGAACTGAAATGGACCCCTGGGGTCTGGCCTTTGAAGACTACACCAGCAATTAGTTCCTCAGATCTAGCTCTCTGCTTCCTGAGCCATTTGCCATGTAAGAAGTTCCAGTATACACTTCGGCTACGACAAAGTCATTCTGTCATGCCTTACCCACCATGAGAACTGTACCCTCTGAAGGCATGAATGAAAATAAATCTTTTCTCCTTTTAAGTTGCTTCTGTCAAGAATTCTGTCACAGAGGGGGCTGGAGAGATGGCTCTGCAGCTAAGAGCATTGGCTGCTCTTGCAGAGGACCCAGGTTTGAATCCCAGCGTCCACAAGGAGGCTGATAACTGTCTGTAACTTCAGTTCCAGGGATCCAACACCATCTTCTGATTTCTACAGGCACTGTACAACAGGGGTGCACTTACACGCATGGAGGCAATACACTCATGCACATAAAATTAAAATAAAAAAGTGAAGCAGGAATGTCAGAACATAGGCTGGCACCTTTAGGCCTGATCCCTCCCATGGCTTGATCAGGCCACATCTCTGCGGCTCTCTCTGGGACAAAGAACTAAGAGGCAGTCTGTGATGTGACCTAACAGCTCTCAATTTATGGTACCTGGCTCCTCCATGCTCTGTCATGTATGCCATGCTGAACTTAATCGTATGATATGAAACTTCCCACACCCCTAAAAGGTTATAAAAGTCAAACTTTTCCTTCATTCCTCTGGGAGTCTGCTCAAGGATTTTGGTCTAGAGATGAAGGCTGCTCTCTGAGGAGGCTCCTCTGCCCATCCCTTCCACTTAAAGCCTCCCTTCTTTTACAAGTCCTATCAGGTTTATATATCGCCATATATTGCATTGTTTCTGTCCAATGCTCTCCCCTCCACCTGGTGGACCAATCATGGTCTTGAGGCCCTCTCATTTCAATAAACATCATTGAAGGCAATTAGATGTCAGTTTCCTTAGGAGACTACTGTGCCCTTTTATTTCTTCTTCTTCCTTTTTTTTTTTTTTTTTTTTGGTCTTTTTGAGCCCCAGTTGTCCTGGAACTCACTATGTAGATCATGCTGGCCTCACAGAGATCCGCCTGCCTCTGCCTCCCAAGTGCTGGGATTAAAGGCGTGTGCTACCACGCCCAGCTATTTCTTCTTTTTTTGAGACAGGGTCTCACTATCTAACCCTGGTTGGTTAGAACTCAGAGATCTGCCTGCTTTTGGCTCCAGGCTCTCTTATTTCTTTACAACAAGAAGGGACTGGAGAGATGGCTTAGCAGGTAGGACCCAAATTTGGTTCCCAGCAACCATGTCTGGTAGCCTGTAACTCCAGTTCCAAGAGATCCAACACCTTCTGATCTCCACAGGCACTGCACACATGTGCATATACCTACACATATAAACATGATTAAAATAAATATACATATATTAAAAACAAAGTTTTTTTTGAGAGAGAGTCTCCCTGTAGCCCCAGCTGTCCTGGAACTTGCTATGTAGACCAGGCTGGCCTTGATCTCAGAGATCTGCCTGCCTCTGCTTTCCAAGTGCTGGGATTAAAGGTACATACCACCACACCTGGCTTATTTAAAATATTTTATTTATTATTTTTATTTATATGAGTGTTTTGCCTGCATGTAAGTGTATCATGTGCATGCAACGCCCATAGAGGCCAGAAGAGGGCATTGGAGTCCCTGGAACTGACAGTTATTAGCTACCATGTGGGTGTTAAGAACCAAACCTGGGTCCTCAAGAAGAAGAGCAAGTACTCTTAACCACTGAGCTATCTCTCCAAGTCCCCCAAATAAAATATTTTTTTAAAAAAGGAAAGATAAAAAACATACTGGTTGGTGAGGAAAGGCATGTGAGTATATTTAAACTTACTAGATGG